GAACTCAGGTCTCTTGCTTGCAAAGCGAGTGCTCTAACCACTGAGCTACAGGACTCCGAGAATCACTGGACTGGAGAATTACTCTCCAAGGTCCGATGTGTTCTCCAATGGGCTGACTCTGAGTAGGTTCAGGGTCACCCCACATCTTGCACCTGTTCAAATACCCAACATCAAACAAATTACATTCCATGACTGACAATAAATATTAGCTACTCACATCCAGGAGAAGGTACTATTTACAAATCTGTTCAGGAAAGATTTTCTTTTGATGACTTCCTTAACCTTCAGCTCCTTCCTACTCGAGGGAGCCACAGTATGGTGTCCTGAACCAGTGTCAGTGCACAGCAGATTGATTTGTTGTTTTCTGAAGCTAAAAGCATACTGATGGTAGGGATAGTCTCTCAAAATTGAGGATAAATGTGTAGGGTTTTTTTTCTTTTCTGTTCTCTTTTAAAAATGGTGACATATGTTATTCTACCCTTCCAATGGGTGTCAGCAGGTATTCCATACCCATTTACTGTTCTAGACACACCTTCCAGCAGAAGTCACTGAAGTGGTCAGGACTGGAATCCTTGGCTAATTATTCATCTCACTAAATCCAAAGACTGAGGTCAAATACAGAGTCAGATTACTGCTTAGAGATAAGCCAAATCATGGATGCAACATTAGTCCAACCTTCTGTCCATCTATTTTGGGGGATTCCATGTTATTACAGTACAGTGTAACACCATTATTGTGTACTTCATAATAGCGTTGATTGACTTATAATATTTGCCAGTTGCTTCCTTTAACAATGTCTGACTTCCAGTTTATCAGATCGCCTTTGACATTAATCCTATCCAATGCACAGGAAATTACATCGTGGAAACCTCAGGACTTGGAAGTTGGCCATTTTGTTTTCTCACTCGCTAAAAATGTCCAACTTCAGGATTATTAGGTCACCACTGACATCATTTCTTGTGTGCCACGTTTATTCAGTATGCAGGAAGTAACGTCAGTGGTAACCTGATGACCTAAAAGGCTTTTTTTAGTGTGTGTACTAGCACAGAAACCAAGAAACCAACTTTGTGTATGTGTGGTGAAACAGGCTTGCCATGAGGCAGAGTTGGAATTTTATGGACCCCCCGCCCATCACTGGTTATAATGAGAATCTACTGCATATAGAGTTTTCCCGGTGTCACAGACAATACTGCCTCCCATTCAAAGTAATCAATACAAGCCAGATTCATTGGTTATTCATTTCATTCTACTTGTGGCATATTACTGATGCAGATTGGCTGCTTCATTTTCCACTTAACCCACTCTTTAAAATAACTCATTGTGCGAGGCCAACATGGGAATAATTTGCACCAGCAAAATGCCACATATATCTTTAAACTGAATGGCAGATTCATCTGGAGAATTATTGGCCAGGATATTGGGAGAAAGAAACTCCCTTCTTTTTCCAAATAGTATCACTGTATGGTTTAACATAGCATGGGAGCTCAAGTCTGGAAGAAGGAAAATGCCAAAATGTGAGTAGGTTTTGAAAATAAAATAAACCTGATGTAAACCAATCCTAACAAATAAAACTCTTAAAAATGAAGAGACCATCATTGCTTTGAGCGGACTGTATAAAATTGTATGCATTGTACATTCAAAACTAAAACAGGATGGCTATTACAGCAAATGGAAAGCTCTCTGAAAGGAATGCATTGGTCAGCACAGACTCTCAGGATAATGCATAATGAGCAGAAGGTCGAGGCTTTGTATTGTGGGTTGTAAGTGAGTTCATGGTTGTAATAATAATAATCCTTCAACTTGATATAGCACTTTATCATATCTTTGAGAAAGCACATCACAGAATATATTGTAAAGTGAATTAACTGTGTATTTTGTGGGCAAAGCGCAAAGGAAATTAAGTGACCACATTTTTTTTTGAGGGTTTAATATTATAATAATTATAATAATTGTAAACTTCATTCAAGGGCATAGCTGAACATACAGGAACACGGGCATCCAAACCCAGATGAATGCATGTCCAAGACTACCTATGTAACTTAGCAAGGATTGGTGCACTTCCTGCTCTTCACTGACTAGGATCCTAGCTTGGTGTTACCTGTGCTGGGTGGGATCACAGACTTTGTGCTGCAATAGTGATTTGTGTTCCTTCACTGCCTCTAATGAATATACAAGTTAACTAATGATTTGGTGGCAGATCTAACCTGGATTTATTGGTTAATTGAAAAGTTGTTGCTGCAGATGAATTTGCTATGCTGCAGCATAAATATAGACAATTCGCTTTGATTTGGCGTGCATTCAGAAATGATGCATAAAATGTTCTCAGGTGCACCGAGAAATTTTGAGAGACCAATGTTTAATGTTATTAATGAACTGGTTTGCATGGTCAGATATTGGTAATACAAGCCAGTTAATTAATAATTGAAATGGATGCTGTCAGTAACATTAAACAAGTCTAACACTAGTTAGTGGAGTTCCTCTTCGTCACACACCAGAGCAATTGGGAGCGAGTTGTGTAAATCTTGCTCCCTGCTCTGAATCATGCTGCTTGATCCATTGCTTCCATCACCAATAACCATGTGTAAGTATATAAGTGTGAATTTAGTATTTAAAGAAGAATTGTCTTCATGAGAAAAGAACCATTGCAACCTTTGTTAATTTCAGGAAGAGCCAGTTTGTTTGCATCATGGGTGTTGTCATGTCCAGGCAAATTCATGATGGATTTAAACACAGCTCATATCAAGGTTATCAAGCATTTTTTAAATTAAATCTGTGTCCCTTTAAGCAGCAATGGAGTAGAGTTGAGTCTACTTATCAACTTAATCTTAGAATGAGACCATTTTCTTGTAGAATGATGGTAAAATAGTTATGGCTAGGCCAGTCACATAATTTTGCATGTATTTTACTCTTAGATTAAAGGGTCATTTAAAAAAAAACTATAATGTGCCCTTTTGAATTTGCAGCACAAACAAATGTGGAGTCAGGCTTGTTAACATGTAATATTCAACATACCAAGAGAGAAAGCTCACACAACCCATCTCTAGGGCTCAGCCAGTGATCTAAGACTTTCACGCTTTCCTTGTCATTGATCATTCCCTCAAAATAGCTTGACAACACTATGGATACTACCTGGTGCTAATCAGAATTTTGTACCATAGAAATTTACACCACAGAAGGCGGCCATTGTGTATTTTTTTTACACACCTTTTCTCTTGTTGATTTAATTGGCTTCAGCAGTGTGACTCAAACAGAAGTGCAGTGGTGCTGGGTGTTTCTGTGCGATGGTGTTTGTCACAGCGAGGGTGGATAGATAGACAGACTCCTGCCTTATTTTCCCTCCTCATTCCAAATTCACTTTCTCCCCCCCACCCCCACATTCTCATGAGCTGGCTATTTGTCCCGTGTGTAGGATGTCACTGCCTCAAATCAGCGCTGTGTTTGCCTCTATAATGACTTGGAAGACGGACGGCAAACAGCAGGTTCAGATAAATATGGATGTGGGGAATGTGTTTCACAGGGAGCTGGGTGGAGCCAGATTGTGACCTCATATACAAGGGGGCAATTGGGTAGATAGTGCCTATTCAGATAGATGGCACTATTCAAAAACAGAACATAGTTTCTCTCTCCCGGTTTCCTGGCCAACAATCCAAATGTAATTGTTCCCTCAATCCACCAACAAAATATAGTCACGTTTTGAGACATCTTAACAACGTGACAAGGAGTGGAGTCCTGTAGCTCAATGGTTAGAGCACTCACCTCGCAAGCGAGAGACCTGGGTTCAATTCCTGGCAGGGCGAAACGCTGGGCAAGTTTCCTTACTCTACATGCCTCTGTTTACCTAGCAGTAAGTAGGAACCTGGTTGTTAGTATATTGACGGATTGCTTTCCTGGAGGTAATAGTTCCCTCGAAAAATAATAAATTGATCACTCAATCTACGACTATTTGTGGGACACTGCTGTGCGCAATTGGCTGCTATATTTTGCCACAAAATATACAGTCAATTAATTTTACAGTATATTCTGTGAAGTGCTTTGAGACGTCTCGAAGACGTGATAAGGCGCTATATCAAATGCAAGGATTATTATTATTGTAAACTGGGTACTTGGTAATATTCAACATACCAAGACCGAGACTGCTGAATCCATAACAAACCAAACTGAATCCAGGTGTTAATGAATTTCTGACAATGAACAACAACAACAAATTACATTTGTATGCGCCTTTCACATCGGGAGGACATTCCAAGGCACTAGACAGTCAGGGATTTGGACCCGAACAGGGGGTTAGGATCAGAGAGTGGGAAGGATAGGAGGCTGCCCAGCGAGGTCGAAGAGGAGGGTCTTGAGACGTGCCTTGAAGGAGGCAAGGGAGGGAGTGAGGCGAAAGGAATGAGGGATGGAGTTCCAAAGGGTGGGGGCAGAGAGGCTGAAGGCCCGACTGCCGATGGTGGGGCAGGCTGGGTGGGGGAACGTGGAGTAGCCGGGCCTGCCCCTTCTTCCGCTCAACCTGTCCCCTTCTTCCGCTCGGAAGAAGGGGACAGGTTGATATGGGATTAGCAGGTCACAGAGGCAAGAAGGAGCAAGGCCATGGAGGGCCTTGAAGGCGAGGACGAGGATTTTGAACTCTATCCTCTGGGGAATGGAGAGCCAGTGGAGCCGGGCGAGGTTGGGGGTGAAAGGGTAATGGAGCCTGGTACGGGAGAGGACATGAGCTGCAGATTTCTGGATGAGTTTGGGAAGGCCGACAAATAGGGAGTTGGCATAGTCGAGCCTAGATGTGATAAATACGTGGATGAGGGGTGATGCAGCGCTGGAGCCAGGCAATGTTGTGGAGGTGGGGGAAGGCAGAGCGGGTCATGGCACAGATGTGGGGTAGAACAATGACACATGACATAACTATATATGGTACCACAGGATGTTCTGTGGCTAGTGCATTTATGAGAAACAACTTAGGTACTGTATTACACTATCCTCTAATATCTACTCATTTATACAATGCATTCAGAATTAAAGAGTCTTTATAATATATATAGTGTACAGTAAATATTACATGTAGTGTATCTTCCAGTAATCCATTGCCAAAACAAATCTCATATTGTAGTAATGCCACATGATTCCACTTAGCCTTCAGCTCCTCTGTCTCTCTCACCTGTAATACGCTTTCACTTACGTCAAACCACCTCAGTCTCAATCAGTGCACTCGTTGCCTCTCACCAAACACAAGTTGAAATGAAATAAAGGTAATAAATTATGCACTATATAAATTATAAAGAATAACGCAATTGTGACAGTGAATTAATCTTGAGGTTCTGCCGATATCAATCAAGCTATTCACTCCCATGACTTGTAACATCCTCAAAACTATTAACTGATTATCTCTTTTGTCGTCATGCTAAAGGCATTGTTGACATTGTAACAACTGACTGAAGAACAAGTTAATCAAATTCTTGTGAATCAAGGGACTGCAAACCTGTAGATCTTGTTATTTCACTTCTGATATGATGGTGTGACATCCTAAACGTCACTTCATTCACTAGAAAACAATACTTACTGGCTCCGTTGATTCTTGGTTAATTCCTAAAATTACAGTGATGTTGGCAAGTTGGTGTAGTATTGATATTTGTGCTTGGCTATCACTAGACCAATTGAGAACCACTATGCCATATGCTTAATATATAAATGCAAATTATTGTTGTTGCTGTTGTTACTTACAAAGCATGCACAAACAAAAATCCTTTTGCTGTCAAGTGTATTGACTTTGGATTACATTATAAGTGATTTTTCTCAAAATCTCTGAATTTATTGACACTTATTGGCTACACGAAATTCTTATCCCAGCCTTCAGCTCTACTGAACTTATTGGAACCCCAGTACAGTACTATTAATTTGCTAACTTTATACTTAATTTGACTCTAAATGCTTTGCTGGGGGTTCAATTGATGATTAAAAAGAGTCTTAATCAACTCTTAATGGATTTAAGATCCAACAATGTTGAAAATAAAAGTCAAATCCAGACCAAGGTACTCTGATCCTCTTCAGAATTCCAATCCCTTCTATTCACTACAACTGTATAGAATTCCAATGAACCAACTTCCTTCCTCTTCATTCCCACTAAATAAAAAAGCATTGGATCAAACACCTTCCTGTTCACTCCCACTCTTCATTATAACATAAAAAAATCCCAAATTATCCAGATTTGAATTATCATTCACCAAATGTAGTTAACTTACTGGAAAATATCTAAAGACAGCAGCACATTTACAAATGTATTCAACATTCCTTTAGATTGAACTGCTAAGCAAATGATACATTAAACTGTCACAAAGACCTGGAAGCTGACTGTTTTGTCTAGTTTATGAGGAACCTGATCCAGAAATAATCTGTATCCAAGTATGAAACATGTCACTTTAAACAGTTGTTTCTGTATTGTGATTCAAGGGATAGAGCCAAAACTGAAGCATTTAGGTGACTACACTCGTGAGGTTCAGTCACCGGTGTGTGTGAGACTTCACAGCAATTACTTTCAAGTTAAACAAGTGACTGGGGTGAGCCCAACACAAGTTTTTCAAACCATCTCTAGAAGTCATGCTTGAGCTGGGTTGGGCTCCCTTGCTCTTCTTTGTCACAACACAAAAGAACAAGGAATGTTACTGAATGCACAGAAGGATGATAAAGTAAAACTCAAACGGAAAATCGTGATCAATGCAAATCGCAATGTAGGTTAATTTCATCCTAGTGGAGTTTTGGTGAAATCTCAATTTAAATACAGGTTTATGGCAAAATGGTTAAATAGCATTGAGGAAGACAGTTTAGTCTCTCAATGACTGCCTTAAAAGCTGCTGTGCTGATGCCTGCATTCCCCAGACCTGCTAAAGACAAAGAGGCAATAGCTCCTATTTACATAGTGTGGCTTTACTGTGTCTTAACCTTCTTCTTGCTTCAACCAAGACTCAAATCAGTGATGTACTGAAGGCAGATGGAAAGACACATTGCACTCGGCACGGCTTTTTTCCCATGTATTCCAGCTCAAGCAGACTCAGTGTTTGCAGTGCCCGTGGTCTTCTTCTTGGGGCGCACTTTAACGCTCTTTGACTGTGGCTGAAAAACACATATAAAAGGAGAATAAATAGGAGAACATCATAGAAACATTCCACATCCAACTAAGTTTCCATTATGGAGAGGAGACCTTCACGCTGTTCACAATCTTTATTGGAAGCAGCAACCTGGAACTTCTCACACTGCGCAATGTTGGAAAATAGTAATCGATGGTACCAGGATTTGGGAAGTGAGAGTGGAAGGAAGTAAATAGAATTATGGATCTGCAATCATTTGGGTAAGGGACAGAATCCAACTGATCAACAGGAAACTTTGTGAACAGTAGTGTTGGAGGGTCTTGATTGATTGACAGTATACTGATGGAATTGAGGGATCAATGAGATATTTAAACAGGTAGAGACTAATATAACATGCAAATGCAAGGATTATTTGAATATACCTCGGAACGTTGCAGCTTCTGTTTAGGGGCTTTAAGGCTCTGGGTGCGTTTTGGCACTTTGTCCACAATGTCATCATCTGACTGTTCAGTTTTTGATTCCAAATGTTCCACATCTGACTTCTGACCTTGAGAGATCTTTAATTCTTCGGCTGAAGGACGCCAGTTAACATCTGACCAATGTCAAGAGAATCAACATAAACATGCAGTGAGAGCACACAGTTGAACACACGTCTCCTCAAATTCGACGCAGCATTGAATGATTGAAAACCTAATTTCAGTCAAACTCATATAGATTAACAGTGCCTTAGAAAATAAAACCTTTGAACATGCCATAGTTATAATCTGAAACCATATTATTGAAGCATCAGTTAACAATTATGGGCATTCCTGTGGAGTCCTGTAGCTCAGTGGTTGAGCACTCGCTTTGCAAGCGAGAGACCTGAGTTCAATTCCAGGCAGAACGAAACCTTGGGCAAGTTTCCTTACTCCACACAGAGCCTAATAATAATCCCTCCAAAATCAAAAACAATAATAAATTGGTCATTTTCAATCCATGACTGTTTGTGGGACATTGCTGTGCGCAATTGGCTGCCGCGTTCGCCCACAAATATACAGTCAATTCACTTTACAGTGTGTTCTGTGAAGCGCTTTGGGACGTCCTCCCGACGTGAAAAGCGCTACATCAAATGCAAGGATTATTATTATTCCAACTCTTGTCTTGATGTTGGGGCACACAAGTTTACAACAGACATAAATGTTAGTGGCATTCTTCTTAACATAAAAATAACATCGCCCTCTTAAATCTTCAAATTGTACACTCAGTTTGTTTGATCTGTGTAACCAGTGATGATAATTATCCCTGGTGTTAATTGTCACTGTTGAGAATCAACACTTCACATAATCCATTTTTTACTCCATTATCACAAACTCCAGCAATCCATTGATATATTATAGCTCACTCAGTCTAATAAATAATAATAATAATCCTTGCATTTGATATAACGCTTTTCACCTCTTCTAGACGTCTCAAAGCTCTTCACAGAATAGACTGTAAAGTGAATTGACTATTTTTTGTGGGCAAAAAGGGCAGGCAATTGCGCACAACAGTGTCCCACAAATAGTCGTGGTTTGAAGTGAGCAATTTATTTATTTTTCTTGAGGGATTATTATCAGGCGTGTGGAGTAAGGAAACTTGCCCAAGGTTTCACCCGGCTGGGAACTAAAACTAGGTCTCTTGCATGCAAAGTGAGTGTTCTAACCACTGAGCTACAAGACTCCACAAATATAAACTGTATCCCTAATATTCAGTACTTTGACCAGTTACTTTACTATTCACCTTGCAATTGTAATAATGAAATGTAATTGATCAGTGATAAGTTACAACACCTGCAGTGGCATTCAAGAAGCTGGAACTTACACACATTTTCCAGTTGAGGCAGGAGAGAGAAGAACAGGATTAGATACATCAGGGATGGTGCACAATCTGCTCATAATACATTTATCACATGGAAATCTATGAATCTATGTTTTGTCATCAGTTCGTACACCAGACAAGTGCAGGTCACACATGGGTAAAAACAACATACACACTGAAACACACCAACAGATAACTAACTGAGAAAATCTCAATGTTCCAAAGAGCACAAACCAAGCATCAGGAGGAATCCAATAGTAATAACAATGACAAGAAGAATCCTTGCATTTGATAAAGCGCCTTGTCACATCATTGACACGTCTCAAAGCGCTTCATAGAATATACTGTAAAGTGAATTGACTGTATATTTTGTGAGCGAAACACAGCAGCCAATTGTACACAGTAGGGTCCCACAAACAGTCATGGATTGAGTGACCAAATTATTATTATTTTTTTTGAAAGGGATTATTAGCCCCGTAAAGCGATCCGCCACTCAATTAACAACTGGTTTCCTATATACTGCTAGGTAAACAGAGGTGTGTGGAGTAAGGAAATTTGCCTAAGATTTCAGCCTGCCAGGGAATCAAATCCGGGCCCTCTCACTTGCGAGGCGAGTGCTCTAATCAATACGCTACACAAAATACACAGCATACACACAACCATATCAGTCAGAACCCAATACAAAATATACATACACAGCTACTGCATCTGAAGGAACCCAATACACAATAACATAACATAACATGAAGGAGCAGCAGTAGACCATTCGGCCCTTCGAGCCTGCCCCACCATTCAATCATGGCTGATCTTCTAATCTACCTCCAGCTAATAACCTGACCCTGCCTTATCCCTATATCCCTTAATCCCTTTTGCAATAAGAAATCTATCTCAGTCTTGAATATGTTCAAGGACTGAGTGTCATCAGCCCTTTGGGGTAGTGAGTTCCATACATTCACCACCCTTTGAGCAAGTACGTCCTTCCTTAAATAAGGAGACCAAAACTGCACACAGTATTCCAGGTGTGGTCTCACCAGGGCCCTATACAGTTGCAGCAAGACTTCCCTACTCTTATACTCTAATCCTTTCATAATGAATGCTAACATACCGTTCACCTTCCTAATTGCTTGCTGCACCTGCAGACTAACTTTCTGTGATTGGCGTACAAGGACACCCAAGTCCCTCTGGACGTTAACACATTCTAATCTCTCCCCTTCTAAAAAATAACCCGCTCTACTGTTTTTGCTACCTAGGTGGATGACTTCGCACTTCCCTACATTATACTTCATCTGCCACCTACCTGCCCAATCACCTAACCTATCTATGTCTCGCTGCATTTTTTTAATGTCGTCCTCTGTGTTGGCACTTCCTCATAATTTTGTGTCATCAGCGAATTTAGATATATTAACTTCGATGTCCTCATCTAGATCGTTGATGGTAAATAGCTGAGGCCCAAGGACTGATCCTTGTGGCACTCCACTCGTCACATCCCGCCAATCTGAAAAGGACCCGTTTATCCCTACTCTTTGTTTCCTACCCGTTAACCATTCCCCAATCCACGTTAATATGCTCCCCCAATTCCATGGGCCCTTATCTTTTGGACTAACCTTTTATGCGGCACCTTATCGAATGCCTTCTGGAAGTCCAAATAGACCACATCCACTGATTCACCCTTATCTAGTTTACTGGAAATATCCTCAAAAAACTCTATGAGATTTGTCAAACATGACTTCCCTTTTGTAAAGCCATGTTGACTTGGCCTAATTATATTGTGCTTCTCTAAATACCGCACTACCACATCCTTAATCAACGATTCTAAAAATTTCCTATCGCTGATTTGAGACTAACTGGCATCTAGTACCCCATCTTTTCTTTTCCACCTTTTTTAAATAGTGGTGTGACATTTGCGATCTTCCAATCCATGGGGACTGTTCCAAAATCCAAGGAATTTTGGAAGATCAGACATAAGGCCTCCACTATCTCATAAGCTACCTCTTTTAAAACCCTGGGATGCAAGCCATCCGGACCAGGGGATTTGTCACTTTTTAGTGCTAACAGTTTCCCCAGCACCAATTCTCTACTAATGAAAATTTCCCTAAGTTGCTCCCTGTCCTTATCCCCTTGGTGCATCTTTGTTGTTGGCAGACTTGTCAACAAGTCTTCTAGGGTGAAGGCAGATGCAAAGTATCCATTTAGGGACTCTGCCATGTCCTTGTCCCCCATTACAACTTCTCCCGTCTCAGACTGAAGTGGACCTACATTTACCCTCACTAGCCTATTCCTCTTAATATATTTGTAAAAACTTTTACAATCAGACTTAATGTTCCTAGCTAGCTTACCCTCATACTCCTTTTTCTCGCTCTTAATGAGTTTTTTAGTTTTATTTTGCTGGTTTCTAAAACTCTCCCAATCTTCAGATTTGCTGCTTTTCTTGGCAGTTTTATAAGCCTTTTCTTTTAATTTGATGCTTTCCCTAACTGCTCTAGTTAGCCACGGATGAATTGCTTTCCCTGTGGTACTCTTATTCCGCAAGGGAATATGCGACCGCTGAGAATTTTGCACTACATCCTTAAATATTTGCCACTGTTGGTCTACATTTTTACCTCTTAATCTTATTCTCCAGTCTATTTTACCTAAATCTTTCCTCATACCTACAAAATTACCCCTATTTAAATTCAGAATACTTGCCTTGGATTTAACTAGATCCCTCTCTAAGTTAATGCAGAATTCAATCATATTGTGATCACTCTGTCCTATTCTTAATACCTACACTGCCAACTAGCCCTGTTTCGTTACACAAAACAAGGTCTAGGATGGCCTGTCCCCTAGTTGATTCCTCGGCATGCTGCTCTAGAAAGTTATCTCTCATACACTCAATGAACTCTTCTGACCTACTTTTGCTGATTTGGTTTTCCCAATCTATGTAGAGATTGAAATCACCCACTATTATCGCTTTACCTTTCCTACATGCTCCACTGATTTCTTGATTGATACCCTGTGCTATATTGTGATCGCTGTTTGGGGGTCTATAAACCACTCCCATTAATATTTTCTGCCGTTTATTATTTTTTATTTCCACCCATATTGGATGGAACTTATGGTTTCTCTTCCCTATATATTCCCCCCCTTTTACTAGTTTAAATTCCTATTTATTTCCCTGTTAATTTGTTTAACGAGGACATCTGTCCCAGCACGATTTAAATGCAGCCCTTTTCTCCATAAGAGCTCTCTTTTCCTCCAATATTCGTGCCAATGGCCCATAAAAAGAAACCCCTGAGTTCCGCACCACTCTTTTAGCCATGCGTTCAAGTCCTTAATTTGTTTGTTCCTGTACCAATTGTCGTATGGTACAGGCAGTAGTCCCGATATTACCACCTTCGATGATCTCAACTTCAATTTGGACCCCAGCTTTTCAAATTCCCTTCTCAAGTCATCTTGGCCTACTCTACCGATGTCATTGGTACCTATGTGAAGTACCACCAACGGATCCTTGCCCTCATATTTTAAATTGTCCTCTAGCCCTGCCGAGACATCCTTCACCCCGGCCCCAGGGAGGCAACAAAGCCTTCTGGTCTTCTGGTTGGTGTTGCAGATGATTGTGTCTGTCTGCCTAATAGTCTCATCCCCAATGACGACAACCATCTGCTCTTTTGCCCCAGTGTTAGAGGTAGTTTTTCCTTCCACCTCACCGGCTTCCTTGTCGATTCAAGTTCCAAGGATCTCATATCTGTTGTTCAAGGTTAATGCCGGATTTACTACCACTCTTTCCGTTGTCCCCCTGACCTCCTGACTGTCCATTGACCTATCCTGACCATAATCAATGTTGAGTGTATATTCCCTCAGAGGAGTGACTGGCTCCAGGATGTAGCTATCCAGGAAGCACTCACTGTCTCTGATACTCCGTAGTGTCTGCACCTCGGATTCCAGCTCCGTCACTCTGAGCTGGAGCTGCCTCAGTTGCAGACATCTTCTGCAGATGTGGTCACCCGGGGTCAGAGCTTCATCAGCTCCCACATGTCACACTCCTCACATAACACCTGCCACACCATTGTCACTTCTTCCAACCTGAGTAAGTCAATCAATTAAATTAAGTTAATTAGGTTAAGTTAATTAAGTTTTAAGTCAATCAAGTTGATCCAATTAAGTTGATCAAGTTAACTTAAACCAATCAAGGTAAATTGATCAAGTTAAGTCCGCGGTGTGTGATGTGTTGATAGTTGTTAGTCTACTGATGATACTGACTTCGCTCTGACGTCACTTTTTAAGTTTCTCGCTGGTCTTTTTATCCTCTGACACGCCCCGCCCCTCGCTCTCATGCCGCTGACTGGCTGACTGAAGGCATGCATACATAACAGCTCATGTATATTTTGTATATTGGGTTCTTCCAATGCATGTGTTGTGTCTTGTGTATTGGGTTCCTACTGATATGGTTGTGTATGCTGTATATGCAGTGCATTTTGCATAGCGTAATGGATAGAGCACTCGCCTCGCACGCGAGAGGACCCGGATTCGATTTCCTGGTGGGATGTATGCATAGCATCAGGAAGAATCATGTATACAATAAAACAGGTAAAGACTGGCAGCACTATTTACATCAGGAGCGATCCAACGCAACACAGACAAAGCAGCAAATGCATCAGCAGCAGAAAAATATGCAAAATACTTACAACATCTCTTTTTGTGCATGATAAACTGTCTGAACCCATCCCCCTCTTCTCCTTGGCACAGCCTAACTATTAGCCATGCTTCATTTCGCCAACAGGAAATGCTCTGTTCTCCAGCAGTCATTCAGCCATTAAAGTGAACTACTGACAAATGTCCTTTATCCGAATGATACAAACACTAGATGGTAACAGTGGCCACTGTATTGTTGCATAAATGTTTATTAACTGAATAGACACAATGGGGAGATAGCTAGGCTAAGTGAATGATAATGAAAAATATAGACTTGGATTCATGCTCACTGTTAAAGTTTAGTTAATATAGTTGTGGAGTCCTGTAGCTCAGTGGTTAGAGCACTCTCTTTGCAAGTGAGAGACCTGAGTTCAATTCCAGGCAGGGCGAAACCTTGGGCAAGTTTCCTTACTCCACACAGAGCCTTACTCCACACCTAGCCCGAGCATTTAATTGGAAGCTCTCTTCAGCCAACAGATGACTGCACAAGGTATATCATAAGTGGCTTTTTTGCTGGGCTGAGTTAAGTAGTCTGGTTTTCAAAGGTCATATTATCCTGTAGCTCCGTGGTTAGAGCACTCGCTTTGCAAGTGAGAGACCTGAGTTCAATTCCAGGCAGGATGAAACCTTGGGCAAGTTTCCTTACTCCACACAGAGCCTAATAATAATCCCTCCAAAACCAAAAACAATAATAAATTGGTCATTTTCAATCTACGACTGTTTGTGGGACATTGCTGTGCGCAATTGGCTGCCGCATTCGCCCACAGATATACAGTCAATTCACTTTACAGTGTGTTCTGTGAAGCGCTTTGGGACGTCCTCCCGACGTGAAAAGTGCTATATCAAATGCAAGGATTATTATTATTAATATCTGGCAAGTTGATTATTTAGCATTCTGCAAAAGCTTTGTTGATATTCTACACATAAATCTGCTACATCTGGGAAGCTTTAACCCGACACTGTCAGGATAATGTTAAATTCCAAGATTCCACAAATTAACCACTGACCTTTCTTTTCATAGTGAATCTAACCCATGTGAATTAATTAAAATTTAACTCAAATCTTGCAACAGCCTATGTGGGATTAGGGATTAGAGGATTTTTTTTTACAAAAACAGTAGCTATAGAGTTAAAGGGAAATGACCAAGTGCTCCACAGGACATAAATACAGCCACAAATGTTTCTATATCCCATTCTTACTAATGCTAAACAGCTTCATGGTGTAATCGGAGAAGGTTAGATTTTCTAGAAGGATGAGATCAAATGGGCTGAAAGGTCTTCTTTCATCCATAACTCTCTGTGATGATTTGGGATATATCAGCCAGTAAGTGGACACGGAGAGGAGGCCAAGATCAGAAGGGAGGTGGTCTGTCTCACGTAAGCCAAATAGCAGAGGTTGTCATTCTGGGTTACACTTAGCCTTTATGCTATCCCTGTCCTGCCCCAAATGAGAATGGAATAGCGATGGGAATGCCAGAGTAGATGTTGTAGCATCCTCTCTGCCCAATTGAAAGGGGAAGGCAGAGAATGACTTAAATTTATAACACACAAGTCCCCAATCTCGCTTCTGGCTGGAGGTTATTGGAGGTTACTGGAATAATGAAAGGTTTCACTCGCAAAACGAGACATTTTCAAAATGTACCAGAATCATTTATGGTTTCCAGAATGTTGCCTGTGGAGGTCCTCATGAGGGACTCAGGACTGCGGAGGTGAAGCGTGTCTTCATCTCTGATCAGTGTCAGATCTTGCATGCTGAAGCTCCGGAGCTTATCTGAGAGCACTCCCTGACCCTGGGGACAAAACAACTCCATGAGAAGTCCAGAGAAAACTCTGCAACCATTTTCCTGGGAGAGGAATGTGGAAGCAAGTTCAATTGCAAATAAAAAAAAATAAAACCCTGGAGAAAACCCACAGTTACCTTAGAAGCTGCTGTGACAGCAACGTTAGCTGCCAGGTTGAGGCCACGTTTGCCAAACCTCATCATGGTCTCATAGCTGCGATCTTTGGCCTGGCTTATATACTCATCAATTTCCTGAAAGGGAGGGAAGAGAAGTCAAGGAGCTGAATAAAGAGTGTTTTCAGCTGATGCCTCAAAACAGTCAGGGCAAAGGNTTTTTGCAGAACCAAGTGAGGTGGGTAATAGGTCTCAGTGAATGAGCACAAACGCAATTTGCTCTGGACAAGTGCAGTCCTGAGGATGTCAGTCAGACAACAGCTCTTGTTAGTGGATCATTACTGTGACTGGGCTTTAGGTAACAGTGTACAGTGTAGATTCCAGGGGGGTCTCACAAAATTATTAAGACTTGAAGTATTGTTATACAGTAACCTTCACTTAAATCGTATCATTTGGGGCCACACATTTAATATGACTTATGCAAAGTATGTGTTTTGCCAAACTTGCATAGAATATAAACTCTTGAATGGGACTTGGGCAGATGTACAACTTAGGTCTTAGGCAATTATAAGAGTTATACAGATCAGACTTATGCCATTTTACTATACTATAAACTGATGACTTCGGCACTGTCACAGTAAGGAATTACACTACGCATTCCAGTGATCTTTGGCTGTCATCTATTACAGTGTACGGAAGAAAGATTTTCACAGTAACAGTGAACTTTGCTACACACTGAGACCTGTATCCCTTTTAGAGTAAGTAGGTGCACTGCTCTCACGGTACATGATAAATGAAGGAATGCTAGATGAAAGAAAAAACAAGGTCCATCTAGTTCACCTTCCTGGCAATCACATGCACGTATGTTCCAAATTACCTATGTACTATATCTCATAATGTTATTTCCTAAAAGAAAACTCTCTAATCTGTGTTTGAAGGAATCAACGCTTCAACAGTCTTCCCAGGGAGCTTGTTCGACAGGTTTACTATTCACTCACTGAAATAGTGTTTGTGTAGATTCGTTCTGAATTTGTCCTGAATTTACCCCCTTTCAATCTTGTTTTTATTATTCAGGACTAGTTGAAACAGCTTGTCATGATCTATATTGTCTCGCCCCTTTATAATCTTAAAGACAGCGATGTTATCGCTTTTCAATATTCTCTTTTCCAATGTGAACATGCCCAATTTATAGAATCATAGAATTATACAGCACAGAAGGAGGCCATTCGGCCCATCATGTCTGTGTCAGCTCTTTGAAAAGAGCTATCCAAATCAATCTCACTCCCCCACTCTCTCCCCATAGCCCTGCAAACTTGTCCACCACCCTTTCAGGCAATGCATTCCAGGTCCAAACAACTCGTTGTGTGAAAACATTTCTCCTCACCTTCCCCATGTTTCTGTTAACAACTATTTTAAATCGGTGTCCTCGAGTTACCGACCCACCCGCCAGTGGAAATAGTTTCTCCTTGTTCACCCGATTGAATCCCCTCATAATTTTGAAAACTTCAATTAAGTCTCCTCTTAAACTTCTCTGCTTCTTAGCTTCTCTAGCCTCTCCTCATAACTGAAGACCCCCATTCCTAGTAAATCTCCTTTGCACTATCTCCAATGCATTGACATCGTTCCTAAAGTGTAGTGCCCAGAACTGAACAAAGTACTCTAGTTCATCCTAATATAAAGGTTATGATGAACCTTTATAAAACCAGTGTTTTATAAAGGTTCATCATAAACTCCTGACTTTGTATTCTATGCCCCTATTTATAAAGCCAAATATACTGTATGCTTTTTTAACAGCTTTATCTACCTGTCCTGCCACCTTCAAAGATTTACTTATATGAACCCCCAGGTCTCTCTGTTCCATCACCCCCTTTAAGAGTGTACCATCAGCTTATATTGCCTCTCCTCATTCTTCCTCTCAAAATGCATCACTTTGCATTTCTCCACATTAAACGTCATCTGCCACGTGTCTGCCCACGTGTCTGAAGTTTACCAGTGACTTCTTGCAGTCCATCCTCCTCACTGTTTACTTTTTTTCCTATCTTAGCATCATCTGCAAACTTGGAAATTGTTCTCCCCTACCCAATTCCAGGTCATTTATATAAATCAAACACAGCAGTGGTCCCAATACTGACTCCTTCGCACTTCCCGACAGTCAGAAAAACAACTGTTCATCACCACTCTCTGCTTTTTGTCTCCCAGCCAGTTCTGTATCCATGCTGTCACTGTCTCTTTAAAACCATGCGTTTCTATTTTGCTTTTATGTGCAAGTCTTTTATGTGGCACTTTATCAAACGCCTTTTGAAAATCCATATAAACTACATCAACTGCACTAACTTCATCCACCCTCTCCATTACTTCATCGAAAAACTCTATCAGGTTTATTAGACACAATTTGCCTTTAACAAATCCGTGTTGTCTATCCTTTATTAATCAATATTTTTCTAAGAGAAAATTTATTTTATCCCAGATTATAGTCTTTAGAAGTTTCCCCACTACTGACGTTAGGCTGACTGGACTGTAATCCTCAGGTTTATCCTTCTACCCTGTTTGTACAGGGGAGTAACACTTGCAACACTCCAGTCATCTGGCACCAGCCTGGTGTCCAAGGAAGATTGAAAGACTGTGACCAGAGCCTCTGCTATTTCCACCTTTACAAGATAAATCCCGTCTGGACCGGGTGCCTTATCTACCTTGAGCACCGTCAACCTTCTAATTTACTTAGTCGCTCTTCATAGTCCAGTACTTCCATTCCCTCAATCATTCTGGTTGCCCTCCTCTGTATCCTCTCGATTCCTCCCATATCTTTTTTGTACTGCGGCGACTAGAACTGTACATAGTACTCTAAGTAATTAAGTAATTCTGTCACTGTATAAATCACCAATGATTTATATAGTGACAGAATTACAACACTATTTCAGCTTGCTATTGATCTTTCAATACATCCCAACATTTGGTTTGCTTTACTCACTGCCAGAGCAAAATCTAAGCACTAAGCGATGATAGGTTACCCCGTATTCTGACACCTATATTCCTCTATCACCGAGTCATACTGTAATAATAATAAGTACTGTAAATTGATACTCTCACATGTAGAGCCCTATAATCCTCTGCTAATGATAGGCTGTATTGTACATTAATATTTCCAATTCTTGGACCTGTAAATTGTCTACCCATTAACTACATTCATCAAGTATATTCTCAGAGGATATATGGTGTTGCAGGCCTGCTGAATGCTAGAGACCAATTGGAGGCAAGAATCAAGTCAGTTTCTGACTGTGGGATATTATGTTATGGATGAAGCAATGATACATGAAAATGAAAGCTTAGATTTTATATTGCAATAAACTACCTCAGTCACTACTTTGCGCCTTTCTATTATACATTTAGAGACTGCTGCTCTCCTGCCCTCATGTTATTTCCCCTCTAATGTTCCCTTTCACTGAATTGAAAGGTTTGAAGATGCTGTGCATGGTACCTTCTCTTTGCTTGACAAGGTCGGATGGACAAATTTTCTGTACAGGACGCTGGAGCCTTTTGTGTATGGAGACAACAGCCAGATAACGAATGCTATCTTCAACTCAAAGTAAAAAGGAAACCTGTGGAAATACAACATGACATACTGTAGTTTTGATTAAAGAGTTTTGATAACTAATTGGTCTGAGTGGTGTCCAGAATTACCCCTCAGTCCTCTCATTCCACCATCAATCCTAACTCATTGCCCCTCACTCCCTCAAATCATCCTCAGGTGCAACTGAGCAGATATGCAAGTAAACAACTGTAGACAAAGGAATACTAAAGGCCAAGAAGAGAGACTGCATCCAGACTTACAATCTGTTGTTACAAGAGGAGAAAAACATTAAGAACAATAGAAACATGTCCGTGTCCACTTCCAATTCATTTTCAGCATCAGCGTCAGTGATAATGTCCATTCACGGTTCAATGGTGATGTTGGTCTGAAAGATTTTCACACTATACCACTCAATTCTCATCATTGTAGGAGTCCTGTAGCTCAGTGATTAGAGCACTCGCTTTGCAAGTGAGAGACCTGAGTTCAATTCCTTGGGCAAGTTTCCTTACTCCACACGCCTAATAATAATCCCTCCAAAAAGACAAAACAATAATAAATTGGTCATTTTCAATCCATGACTGATTGTGGGACATTGCTGTGCGCAATTGGCTGCCGCGTTCGCCCACAAATATACAGTCAATTCACTTTATAGTGTGTTCTGTGAAGCGCTTTGGGACGTCCTCCCGACGTGAAAAGTGCTATATCAAATGCAAGGATTATTATTATTATTATTATTACTGCATTTGCCCACAAATATACAGTCAATTTACTTTACAGTATATTCTGTGAAGCGCTTTGGGACGTCTAGAAGACGTGAAAAGCAGTATATCAAATGCAAGGATTATTATTATTATTATCATATGCAAATACCTTCATACTTCAACACCCAGAAATAAATGATGAATTCATGCACAGAGAAAAGTCTCCCCCCCACCACTTGGCTTAGACGATTCCTGGACTCTACCTCACACGGCAGCTAAAACTCAAATATACATAGTTATTGCAACCTCCAGAATCGCAGCTTTGTACTCACCATGACAGAATAATATCTGTTATAGTTTCTGCCGTTGTAAAAAATGCAAACACTATCCAGTACATCATCCACTTCACCTGAAAGAAAGGGAAATATGTCATTAGGTAATTCCTTATTAGTCGTTACCCTCCTGAATAAACTGTGACTTTTGTCCAGTTGTACAATGACATCTAATGCCCACTTTTGGCTAACTCTAGTAATACAATGTGTTCCACCCAATTAATCCCATTATTACAGCAATGTGATATCATTGACATTTTCTGCATACAAATTGATTGCCATGCTTGCCTACAAATACACAATCACTATACTTTACAGTAAAATCCTTTGAAGGGCTTTGAGACATTTCGGCGGTGTGACAAGGCACTGTATCAAATGCGAGGATTATTATTATTATTGTTCCAAAATTCTAGAGTTAGCGAAGATCTCTACAATGAGATATTCCCAATACATTTAGCCCCTCAGCTATTTTGTAGGGATTTGTTGTAATCTGCAATACTCTACTGCTCGAAGAGGAGAGTCTTGAGACGTGCTTTGAGGAAGGCAAGGGAGGGAGCGAGGTGAAGGCAATGTGGGATGGAGTTCCAAAGGGTGGGGGCAGAGAGGCTGAAGGCCCAACTGCCAATGGTGGGGTGGACCGGGCTGGAGCCTGTTGAGTGGAGGGAGCGGACAGGTTGATAAGGGGATAGCAGGTCACAGATGTAGGAAGGGCCAAGGCCATGGAGGGCCTTCAAGGTGAGGACAAGGATTTTGAACTCTATCCTCTGAGGGTTGGGAAGCCAGTGGAGCTGGGTGAGGATGGGGTTGATGGGGGTCACGGAGCCTGGTGAAGGAAATACACGAGTTGCAGATTTCTGGACGAACTGCAGCTTGTGGAGGGAAAAGTTGGGAAGGCTGGCCAATAGAGAGTTGGTGTAGTCGAGCCTCATGAATGCATGAATGAGGGTTTCATCAGGTTTATTGATTTAATAATAAGATGAATATTTATCCTTGCATTTGATATCACTCCAATACATGGCAAAGCGTTTTGCAAGATTTTAATGTAAAGTCTAATGACTGTGTATTTGTAGTTAAAGAAATGATTAAATTTGTATTCTAAAACTTTAATTCTTTTTTGAATTCTTGCAGAGTCCCTCTCTGAATGGCAACAATAGGAGGTATGTCATTAAACTGATGCTTTCCTGTTATATCATATCCTTACGGGTGAAATACAGCTTTTGCAATAGAATTTTCAAATATTGAACTCTCTCAGTGCATCAGATGTCCCTTGGGTTCTCTGCTCTGTCATTGGCATCTACTGAATTCTTCGAGGTCCCACTTATTGCCACTCTTTGCTAATTCCCTAGGACTGAGAAATGGAATTCACTGGTTTTGTCCCATCCCAGGTTACACGGAAGGGACCCTATAATATTATGCAGGCTTTTCACGGACAGTGTTAGTGATGTGAAGGATGGTTTGCAATACAGATTGATCCTCAAATTAATAACTTTGATGAACATGATGGGAAATGGAATTGGATATGTACTTGAAAAAGAAAAATTTGCAGGGCTATGAAGTATGAGTGGGGGAGTGGGACTACTTGATAACTCTGTCAAAGAGCCGGCACAAGCACGATGGGCTGAATGGTCTCCTGTGCTGTAAGATTCTATGATTGTACAATGCCCATATAGTCCTTGAATGCTTATGAATCGTAAAGTTTTTGGCCCAGGCACTGATTCTGATGTTCACTGAACGTTCCCTGCCTCTGCTTACTGGCAGCCACTGAGGATTTCCTGGCCCAGATGTTGCTGTGCCAATTCACTGAGTGATCCCCTGTTCTGGGCAATAGTGCTTCCATTCATTGAGCCTTTCCTGTCTTAAATGGCTTTACTTATTAAAGGAAAGGATGCACCAAGACAGAACTAGAGGACAAAGGTACAGAATGGCAAAGGGCAATTTCAGGACAGACATCAGGATTTTTTTTCTTTTCCTAGAGGGTAATTAATGGCCAGAACCATTTGTCAGGAAAGGTGGTTAAGATCAGAATACTGAACTCATTGAAACACAGCTTGATGCTGTAATGGGAGGACAGTAGGATGGATGTTCTAGATGAGATGTTCGAAGGCCAATCTTGTTATCGTGTGACATTGTGTGAGGAGGTCATTTCTTACCATGTGTGTTGATGTTCCCACATATTGGGAGTGGATCCATGATAACTCCATGACATTGGTTTATTTGTAGATAAATAATCCAATAAGTGACATTCAGCATGGGCTCAGAAGGAATAGATCCTTTCTGCAATCATCATAGACTTTTTGAGGGGGTGGCATCCCAAATCGACTGTGGGAAGCCATATGACGAAGGGTACCTAGATTTCCAAAAGCCAATGCTTTTTATGGGATGTTTCTGGTGTAAATTTTCTGTCACATTTTCCTCCCATGACAATATTCCCTTTCATTTTTAATCAATTTTATTTTATAAAGCACTTCACAGTGTTCATTGTACATAAAAGGTATTATTATTTGAAATAATAAATAACTTGAATTTATATAATTCCTTTTATGTAAAAATTTGTCAAAGCACTTCAATACTTTACAAAATGATAATAATCATTGCATTTGATATAGTGCCTTATCAAGTCTTCAAGACATCTCAAAGCGCTTAAAATGTGAAAATTGTAGGCAAGCAACACACTCTGAATGAAGGTTGGGGAAAGCACTGAATAAAACAAAGAATGTTCAGCACGGAAACAGGCCACTCATCTAACCAGTGCATGCTGGTGCTTATACTGTACTCCACACAAGTCTTCATCCAGTCCTTACTTGAGAATTTTATTCCCTTTTGGTCTGTACTACTCCGTTTGGTTCTTACACATAAATGTGTACCCTCCCATACCCTTCTATTCTCCTCTCCCTTATGTGAAGGACTAGTTTCCCCTTGCACACCAGGGGTGCCCAACCATTTTTGGGTGAAGGGCTACTGGGAGAAGTTTTGAATACACAGCGGGCACTCTATGAATTTATGTGTAAGAAGCAAACAGAGTAGTACAGACCAAAAGGAAATAAAATTCTCAATCTAAAAATTAGGGACATTATATACATGCATATTATATACTATGTATGTGTATAACCTTTGAAATCAAACAGAAAGTCAATTTAGTTATTATTAATGTGACACCTGGCACTGCATTTCTTCCAACATGTTGAAATCTGGATTGTATGATGAGCTTGCAACTCACAGACAATCATTTAGATGTGAATCTATAAGTCTGAATCTGTATTTTGACTTAATATAATTCATATTGGCGAACAGTGACTTGCAGAGGTATGTTGATCAGTAGCAACAATTTATCCTCAATGCTGCATTTCTCAGAAGAGGATACTTATTTTTGTCAATAAGTTTCCAGAAGTTATCATCTTTTGCATGGGACTGTAGAATAATGTCACTTTGAATGTTTATGATTTCAAGCTCAAGTTTTCCGATGTCAGCTTGAAACAATTTTTCAATAAATGTTGCAGTTTCAGAGACATCAACTGTACTAAATGGGTTTACAATGAATTTCACAATTGGTGCAATTGTATTGAATTCTTGAAATCTCCGACTGAATTCTTGTTGTAGCTTCTCAAGATGTCCCACAAAAGGCTGAGGATCAAAAACGTTTTCATCAGCAGTTTCAATAATTACTTTCTTCGGTTGTGGGAAGTGTAGAAGAGATTTCTTCGTCATGTGAGATATCCATAAGTTCAGTTTACTTTTGAATGCACTTACTGCTGACCAGTTCAGCAATATGTTTGTCTTTCCCCTGAAGTTCCAGATTTAACATGTTTAGTTTTAGGGAAATCCATGAGAAATGCCAAGTCAAGCAACCAAGATTGGTCATTCAGTTGTTCGTATTTTTCTTTTCAGGACTCCGAGAACACCTAAATCTCTGGCATGAGCTCTAGGAATCTTGCAAGAACTTTCCCTGTACTCAACCACCAAACTTCAGTGTGCAGTATCAAGTCTGCATACTCAGCATCTTCTTCTAGAAGAGCTTTGATAAGCACAAATAGAGTTTATTATTCTAGTCACCACATTCATCACATGTTGAAAATGAATCACTTTTGATCACAGAGCTTCCTGGTGGATAATGCAGTGGTAAGTGATGAATGCCGGGAATGACTGGTCTTTCTTGCAGAGTCTAATAAAACCTACCATTGCAGGTGCTCCATCAGTAGTCACAGACACAATTTTTTTGAGAGGAACATTGTTTTCCAAAATATAGTCTTTGAAGGCTTTGTAAATATCTTCACCTCTCGTTTTGCCTTTCAAAGGAAAAATTGTTGGAAGCTCTTCCTTTGTTGTATTATCACTGACCACCATCCTAACTAATACTGGGCAGTGTCTGACACGTCTGTGGACTCATCAAATTGTAATGAAAAGTAGTCACATGTTTGAACGTCACTCACCAAATGAAATCATATATTTTGTGAAATAGACTCTATTCTCCTTGTTACAGTGTTACATGACAGTTGCAAATTATTTATCGACAATACGATTTCCGTCTTATTGCTAAAACCTTCAAAAAGAGAGTCTGCAGCAGACAGCATCGCCTCCTTCACCAGTTCTCCATCTTCGAAAGGTTTGTTCCTTTTAGCAAGCACATGAGCAACTTTAAAAGATGTTATCATACAATTTTTTGACTTATGAACATGCTTGGTAAAAAACAACAAGTTCAGATTTTAAATCACTCACTCTCTTCTTTCTTACAACTGAATTGTGTGGGAAATCTGTGTCAAAGTCCTTGTGATTTGTTCGAAAGTGTCTCTGAGCATTATGTTTCTTGGATGCTGCCACCCTAACACGGCACAATACACACACACTTTCCTTTAAAATTAATGAAACAGAACTGCTCTTCCCATTCACTGTTGAAATTGTATGTTTTTTGTTTTTTTGGTAGATCCACTCATAATAACTGAAAACACGAGGGCTGCACTGACTTCTAGTGATCCAGTCAGATGGCCACCGCGAGCCGAGTGCAGCCCAGGGCGACTGTCAGTGACCGGCGGGCGCTGGGACAGCCAATCAGGTTTTTGCGCGAGAATCGAGCCCAGGAACCTGATTGGTCGGCTGCTGTGATGGTTTGCGCAGGTGGTCAAAAACCAGGAAATGGGGTCGTGCGCAGAGGGAAGAAATAAACAGTTCTCTTTCAGGTGACACACCTTAGGACTGATAAGGATGTGTCCATGTAAGAATGGGGGAGTAAGTCAAACACGTGCCCTGCTAGTCACTGTGTAATACAATAATGCCAGGGTTGTTATTATTATTATTATTATTATTATTATTATTATTATTATTATAATACATAGATTCCTAGAAGGACGAGCAGAGCTTGTAGCCGAGTATGCATCAGCAAGCCAGCTGGCATGTTCAAAATAGGTAAATGAAAATTCTTTCAATGATATGATTATTTTCCAATTCACACAGGCACCTAAAAACCCTTCCGCGTGAATTGGAAAATAATCAACTACTATTTCAGTTAGTGAGTTCCACAATCCCACTAACCTCAGTGTGGAGTAGTTCCTCCGAAATTCTAATCCTAGTCGCTATTTTACATTTGTGTCCTCTGGCTATAGACCAGTTGAAACAGCCTGTTTATGTTAACCTGTATGAACCATTTTATAATTTTAAACACTTCTATTAGATTACCCCCTTAAATGTCTCTTCTCTAGGAAACAAAGGTCAAACCTGTCCAGTTTATAGAAGCAACCTGCTAGCCACGGTATCATCCTCGTAACTCTACACTGTACTCTTTTTATTGCTGCTATCACCTTCATATAGTGTGGAAACCAGAATTGAACACAAAACTTCATTGTGGTCTAACCAAGGTTTTTTATAAATTCAACCTCACCGTGCCGTTATATTCTACAGTTTACTATTTGTTTCATTTGTTCAAGACTCACAAAAATAAAACCCATTGTTAAAAAAAGAACGAGGAAACCATATACAATCATTTTTAAATATAATGAATTATTATCGCTTCTTAAAATAAAAGTATTTGAGACATTCTGGTTGTTCCAGATAAGTTCAATCTAATGCAGATAATGTGCAAGTTACTGAGTAAAGACAAGTATGGTTTTCACTGTGAATCGAAGCAGATGCCTTCTCAGCTGCAGTTTGAACAACAAAACCTTCAGAAAGCACTCAGCAATAAAGCACTCTCAACAACGGGCAACTAAGAGAAGTAAAATAACCATATTTCAGCAAATTGGCAAAAGGCAAGTTGTGTCACATTGTGTTTACATTGTGCAGAAATTCCATGTAAATCCAGTGAGCTGCAATCCATTGATTTCCTCTATAAGAAGATTTTGACTCTGTGATATTAAACATTGAAGCTTGGCGCTGTAGTTCAAGCTTCTGGATATTAGATCAACTTGCTTGTTGGGGAAGTGCAGCAGGGTCTGTGCTTTCAATAATCAATGGCTCAAAGTTGTGGCCATTGATCGTCTGTTTGCAAGCATATGCTAAACTGCGTTTCACAACAGGGACAAATTAGGATAATAATAATAATAATAATAATAATCCTTGCATTTGATATAGCGCTTTTCACGTCGGGAGGACGTCCCAAAGCGCTTCACAGAACACACTGTAAAGTGAATTGACTGTATATTTGTGGGCGAACGCGGCAGCCAATTGCGCACAGCAATGTCCCACAAACAGTCGTAGAATGAAAATGACCAATTTATTATTGTTTTTGGTTTTGGAGGCATTATTATTAGGCTCTGTGTGGAGTAAGGAAACTTGCCCAAGGTTTCATCCTGCCTGGAATTGAACTCAGGTCTCTCACTTGCAAAGCGAGTGCTCTAACCACGGAGCTACAGGATAATATGACCTTTGAAAACCAGACTACTTAACTCAGCCCAGCAAAAAAGCCACTTATGATATACCTTGTGCAGTCATCTGTTGGCTGAAGAGAGCTTCCAATTAAATGCTCGGGCTAGGTTTTTCAGGTAAAATCATATGTAAAATGATCAGATCTGGCTTGCTAATTTATGAGATAGGCATTTGTTCTCTCAACTGCATGACTGGACAGATTTAATCAAGAACCACTGAAGATGCTTTTTTGGTTAAAATAACAACATGAGAGACAATGTATGATTTGTTTTACAATTCTGGGGCCACACTTGTCTTTTCCCACCTTTTATATTCCTAAAACTCCTGCAACATAATCTGCATTTACACATATGATATTTTCACTGACCCAGCGATACAGGAACCATATAATTCCATTTGAATTATAATTCATTACATTTCATTAGAATTAGAAGCTTCTTCCCTTAATTCACTTTACAGTATATTGTGTGAAGCGCTTTGAGATGTCTTGAAGACATGATAAGGCACTACATCAAATGCAAGGATTATTATTATATACTATAACCAGCAACTCATCAGCTCTCTTCAGTCAATGCAGCATCAGTAGCTTTTGTTGCGAGTCAATTCCACACTTTGTGTGCGTGTGTAATAAAAACGTATGCCCAAGGTTCTCAACGCTTTGCGGCTTGTTAATTTCCTATTCATGTTATTTAGTGAAATAACTTACTTAAGACCTGTAATGGCCATTTCCTTACAGAATTTAAACAGGGCATTAGCTACTTCATATCCCGATATGTAACTAGGCAGAGAGGAAGGGGGACTAAGATGAAGAACAGGTGGCTCTTTAGATTGGACCATATTTTACCCTTATCCCTCCATTGCACACAGACAGACAGAAAGAAAATCAACTCATACTATGGAAGACTGTGATGAAGATCAGGCTGAAACTTGTAACATTTTGCCTTGAATTTAACATTTTCTTTCTTGCTTTGTTGACTGTACATTTTAATACAATTTGTAATTTAAAACTTAGAAAAACTGCCATAACTCCACATTATTTGGGGCTCTTTCAGTTTTCAATGCACATAATGCATACAAGGGATGCAATTAAATCCAAAGATCCTTGATCATAACACTGTGCTCTATATTACTCTGTCCTACATTACTGTGGCCTACATTGCTGTGACCTACATCATGCACAAACTGCCCAAACATCTTATTTTTGGCTGCCATGTTTTGCCTCCCAAATACACAGTCAATTCACTTTACAGTACATTCTGTGAAGCGTTTTGAGGCGTCTCGAAGACATGATAAGGTGCTATATCAAATGCAAGGATTATTGATTATTATTATTTTGATCCTCTTTATACCACTTAATTTCAGACATGCCATTTCCTGGAATATGTAGAGATATTCCAGCAAATAATAATAATAATCCTTGCATTTGATATAGCACCCTATCACATCATTGAGACGTCTTATAGCTGTTCACCACATAGACTGTATATTTTGTGGGCAAAACCAACCTTCTCCATAAAAACTAGTACCTCTTAACAGTGATTTTGTCTTTATAGTAGTCCTGAAGAAAAATGACAATTCATCCTTTCTGAGTTCCTCCTGTTTTTAATGCAAGTTGCTACTGAATTCCTGTATCCATAAATCAGAAAGAGTCATGACTGTATAGATTGTATCTGTTTTGATTTGGGATCATGAACTAGCATATGACTTTTTTTTGTTCTGCTATTTCTACTAATCTTTGCATAGAGTCCTCTAGTTGAGTGGTTAGAGCACTCACCTTGCAAGTGAGAGACCTGGGTTTGATTCCCAGCAGGGCAAAATGTTGGGCAAGTTTCCTTACTCCACACACTTCTTTTTACCTAGCAGTAAGTAGGAACCCAATCAATTGCTAGATCGCTTTTCCGGGTGTAATAATGCCTCAAAAAAAAATTTGGTCACTCAATCCACAACTGTTTGTGGGACAATGCTGTGAGCGATTGGCTGTTGCTGCTGCCCACAAAGATACAGTCAATTCACTTTACAGCATATTCGTGAAGCGCTTTGAGACGTCTAGAAGATGTGAAAAGTGCAAAATCAAATGCAAGGATTATTATTATTATTTGATACAGGGCCTTATCACGTTGTCAAAATGTCTCATAGTGCTTCACAGGATTTATTGTAGAGTGTAGTGGCTCTGTATTTGTTGGCATACGAGGCAGCCAATTTGCTCACAGCAATGTCCCACAAACAGCCATGAAATCAATGACCAATTTTGTCTGGAGGATTGTTATTCAGGACACTGGGCTAAGGAAACTTTAATGTGCATCTGCAGAGGAAAATTGGCAGATCGATTTTCTGGGGATAATAATCCTTTAAAAAAACTCAATCCACGACTGTTTGTGGGACACTTGGCTGCCGCGTGTTGCCCACAATATATAGTCAATTCACTTTACAGTGTATCCTGTGAAGCGATTTGAGACGTGTCTAAGGCGCTATATCAAATGCAAGGATTATTATTGTTAATGTAATGCTACCAGCTGAGCCAGGCTGACATCTGACGATAAAGGGCAAGAAATTTCCTTTGCCATTGAGTGCAGCTTCATCAATACTTAAGACAGTAATGAGGCAATCCCATGAGAAGTGTACAAGTGTTGATGTGAATTGTATACAGCGCATGGTGATGAAATGAATTTCTCAAACATTGTTACTAGAACCAAAGAAATGTCTGAAAAGGACCGAGGCCCTAAATCAGACCAGACACAATCTTGCTAATGTATAAGTTTATAGATAGCAGCAAAATAAATTGGTTAGTGCAGGTCAACGTGTCCCTCAGGCCTCCTCTCTCTGCTCCTTTTTCTGCACAACCAGATCTAACACAATACTCTTAAAAACAAAGTTACTCACATATTCCTTAACATTCTTCGTTTTGACTGCCTTGTAAGAGGAATATGCTGGGTACAGGGTGCCGAATATTAGCCTGTGGGAACACAAATGGTAGGGTTAGTGAAGAGAAAGGGGTTCAGTCAGGAGTATAGTTAATAGAGAGAAGGGTCAGGAATCAATGAAGAGATCAACATTCAGTGTATTAGTGAACACAAGTAGCAGGAACAATATTAGTGCAGGAAAGAGGTCAACAAGATTATATTAATGGAGAAAGAGTTAAGGTTGAGGCTGCAAGCTGTTCTGAATCCATATCATTCCACTTGTGAATAAACAGGAACATATTATAGTTACACACATCTGCTAAGCAAACAGGTGATGTTTATTTATATGTATCACGTTTTTAACAGCTGAATTGTGACAAAATATGTGCTGAGATCTTGCAAAAGTAATATCACTATTTAAAAATGACTTGCTTTATTTATAGAGAAGGAGACAAGGCTCTAAAGTGCTATTTTTCTTTGAATAATAATATCATGAGCAGTTATCAAACCCTCTTTATACTATATATTATATGTGGAGTTTCCCACATGCATACATAGAATGAAAATGTTACTAATGGTTTGCAACCTGACTCTATACACAGCAAAGACTAAACTTGACTTAATTCCACATCTATGCAACCGTTATAGCACTCTGAATCCCTGATGGGTTTGAATAGTTACCTCTAGGGAAAGTTCCATGTATTGTATATGTAGAATTCAGTTTGGTTTGGATACTTTCAAGCATGGTGATGGGTTTCCACATACGTCAGACACACAGCCGACAATAAAAGTCTACAAAATGAATTTTATATGAGTCTCAAAACATAGTCAACAACAACAACTTGCATTTATATAGTGCCATACACATGGGGTAACGTCCCAGAGCGCTTCACAGTGACGGCGTCTGACAACGAGCCAGGGGGAGGGGGAAGGTGACCATAAGCCCGATCAAAAAGGAAGGTCTTTAGGCGGGATTTGAAGGTGGGGAGGGAGCAGGCAAGGTGGAGGGATTGGTGTGAGAGCCTGAAGGGATATGAAAATGAGTATCTTGAAATCAAGCCTTGATATTCCATCAAACAAGCTGACAGGACATCATCATGTGAGTCGCAACTGGAGGAGGAGAAGTAGATTTGAGTGTCATCCACATACATGTGGAAATTGAACCCATTTCTGCGGATGACATCACCGAGAGGCAGCATGTAGATGAGAAAAAAAAGAGGACCAAGGAGAGAGCCGTATGATACCCCACAGGTGACCAGACAGGGTTAGAGGAAAAAATCACTGGCCAAAATGAAGTGCTAGTGGTTGGTTAAGTAGGACTCGAACCATGCGAGTGTGGTCCCACTAAGGTGGATGAGGGAGTAGAGGCGATAGAGGAGGATCATGTGGTGGACTTTGTCGAACGCAGGGTAGAGGTCCAGAAGGACGAGGAGGCAGAGGGAGCCCTGGTCAGAGAGAGAGATGTATTTTGTTACATTGACGAGTGCTGTGTCTGTGCTGTGGGCTGGGCAGAAACCGGACTGGAGGGGTTCAAATAGGGAGTGGAGGGAGAGGTGTGAGCGAAGTTAGTTTGCAACAATGCATTCCAGAGCTTTGGCCAGGAAGGGCAGGTTTGAAATGAGATGATAATCCGCGAGGTTGAAGGGATGGAAAGCAGTTTTTTTTTAAGACATTATTTATAGACATTATTTTTTAGTCACATTTATAGTAACTCTCACATGAAACAGACGACTTAGATGAACAAGTGAAGATCATCAAACAACTTGGGGACCAAGTCCTTTCCCCTCGAGTCATTGCTGAACACATCGAACAGAGTGGTTGATCACTGAAAGGTTATACATTACATCAGAATACATTAGAGTACACAGCACAGAAACAAGCCATTCGGCCCAACTGGTCTATGCCGGTGTTTGTGCTCCACATGAGCCTCCTTCTGCCCATCCTCAACTAAGCCTTCAACCATAGCCTTCTATTCCTTTCTCCCCCATGTACCTATTTAGCTTTCCCTTAAGTACATCTATGCTATTTGCCTCAACAATGCCTTGTGGTAGCATGTTCCACATTCCCACTATTCTCTGTGTGAAGAAATTTCTTCTAACTTCTCTATTTGATCTATTTGTGACTATTTTATATTGATTGGCAATTATTAATGCAGATTTGCAAATCCTTGTTCCATAGCCCACGCACGCCATTCATTCAGTCAGACTTCAAATTGGAATTACTAACCAGAAACCTGCACACTTTTCACAAAAAAAATCATTTTTTTGATGTGTGTCTCTGGCCTTTGCTCCTAGATTAACTATTTAATTGAACAAATACTCCAAATAATGTAATCAAGCACATATTCTGTTTGGAACAGGAATTTTGTGGAATGGGAATAACCTGATCCAATGGAATGGAATGCTTAGATCAGGTAGTGGTCGATTGTGTTGAACGTAGCGGAGAGGTCCAGGAGGATGATCTGAAGTGTACTGCAGTAATATGCTGATGGTGTACTGGCCTCAGAGTCTCACGCTCCAGCAATCCAGCAGCTAATGCTGTGTTTGTTATGCAAATGATGTGAGCCCATTGGCGAGGCACAGGACTGTATGACACGCTTTGTTTAGAAAAGTGCTGAGTGGAAGTGGCTGGGCAGAATGGAATTCTGTCTGACAATCGGCCACTAATCACAGTATTGTGCAGAGTTCATCTGCAGTCTGCTTCCTTCTGTCTGTTTCTCTGCTGCCACACACCAATCTGGAGTTTTTTTCATCTTCCTGAGTTATGTTACCAAAAGATGCTAATGCAGATTAATAACTCTATTATACAGTCTTCTGTAGCAGTGAACTGCTCACTTCACTGAAGACGTAGAGTGATCCAAGGACAAGTACTGCGATAGACAATATATTTTAGAAAATACTGAATGAGAACTACTGTATTTTGAGGGAGGCGAAGTACAGCTAGCCTGTGAATAGGTGACAAAAACAGTAATGCCCTTGGCTCCTTGCATTTGATATAGCGCCTTATCACACTGTTAAGACATCTCAAAGCACTTCACAGTTTCTATTGTAGAGTGGAGCAACTGTGTATTTTATTGGCGAAACTGAATGGAATCACTTTTTAAGAGATCCTCTTGGCCTAGGTAAGGAATTAGCTGGGTAGACGAGTTATATCCCAAAAGCTGAGGGATGTTCTGATTGAAATGTACAATCGCTCTGAGACGCCGTCCGACGTGGAGGGCACTATATAAATTCAAGTTGTTGTTGTTGTTGTTACAATAATGAAAGGAATTATCAAATCAAAATAGTGGATAACTCTCTCTTTTGGTAAAGGGATCAACTAATATAGTTGGAGACAACTATATTAACATTTCTTCACATAGAGAATAGTGAGAATGGTGAAAATGTGAAATACACTGTCCCAGAAACCATAGTGTCAGAATCAATCAATTGAGATGTTTACAAGTGAGACAGACTGAAAGATGCTGAGGAAATAAGGTTTATTAAGGGGTACAGAGAAAATGCTTGGAAATAGGATTAAAAGATCTGCCAAGATAAAATAAATTGGTGTAACAAGCTCAATAGTCCTTTCTTTCCTCTTTTTCAAGATCACTTCAGTGAATCCTCTCCAGTGAAATTAATACAGGAACCTATGGAGAAACACTATAAATTTTATTATGCTTTCAGATTTATATTAATACAAATTAGTTTTGTAAGTAATTACTGCTCTTGAAACCCATCTAAGAAGTAAGTGCAATACTTGTCTGTTAGAATGGACAACCCTGGATGACCCTATTCCTTTTAGGAAAAGCAAACAGTTCAAAGAACTACCTTTCAAACAGATTCCCCCCTCCCCCCTTGATATTGATGGATGGTAATTTACATTTCTGGTATCTCCTTCAATGATTCAAACAAATTATCAATTTACAGATGTAAGTCTTAGCAGTAACTTTGGGCACAGGGTTCACATCTGGCAATATGGCTCAATTAATAGCATTTTGTCCTCTAGGTCAGAAGGTTGTGGGTTCAAGCCCCGCACAACCTAAGTTGACACTCCAGTGTCATACAGAAGAAACACTTGGTCTGGTGATTCAGGTAAATGTTAAACATCCACTATCTGTCGCAAGGCCAATACCTCCCCCATCCGAGTCACGGAAAAACAGATTAATTGGCCATTCCCTTCATTTGTAGGACATTTGGCACAATTTAACTGTCACATTTGCCAACGTAACAATGGACCCAACACTTAAAGTTAATTCTGGGAAGAATCTGAAACATTTTGAGTTGATGAGGTAAAACTGTATCAAATGCAGGTATCAAACTCATGCTTCTTTAATGAACCAGTGCCACTTACAACGGTCTTATACTGGTCCGTGGAACTGAATAGACTTGAGACTGAATCTAAGGTCTTCTCAATTCAGAAGGCTCAGTATTATACCAGGTACTGAATTTCTTCACTGAGTCATCGGACATTAAAGTGCTTGAGATGGCTGTGTGCAGAAAGATCTTTGTTACACTTCAACTTCAGAGGGAAGCATGCCACCCACTGTGACTGCCAAGTGGGTCTGTATTCCCTAAGCAGGCTGTGGGAGTATAAATTAGAAAAGATTAGAATATTGTTCTGTGAAATTTCTGCAAACTATTTTCGGTGCCAACTTAATTTAATCAACACAAAATGTAGGTTTTTGTTTCAAGAATGACCTGTCAGTGTAAAGTTAAGACCAGAGTGCTCAATAAAGTGGAATGATTCCTGTATTTCAACACCAGGTATAAATTGTGAGATTTATTTAGTATAAAGCAATTAAAGAGCAACAAGAGTGAAAAAAGTCTCTTGTCTGTCCAGTGGTCTCAGTGTGCAATTAATAATGATACTTACCTTATGTAAACTGTTTGGCCTGGATACTGGGAATGGATGCCTAACCTAGCATGAATATTGAACTGAAATTACTGAAGGTTCAAATTTGAGTATAATTGCAGAAAATGGTTCTCATATTCAAGAAATGTCATAGCACAATAGCTGGCTACTACAGACCCATTAGCCTGACCTCAGCCATGTGCCAACTGATTGACCAATC